GGACTCTTCAACGGTCTTGACAAACGAATAGGCCTCGCGATACGACTTTTCCAGAGCCGCCACAGCCTTCGAACCCATTTCCTTCAAAATCACAGGGCAAGACAATAGATATGGGACTCTATGAGTCGCAAAGGCTCTGCTCACATGGAGGATGAGCTCAAATGGTGCTTCGTGAGCGCACATCGCTTTGCATCGCTCAGATCAAGCTTTCTCAGATGCGACAGCAAGTACAGCTGGTCGATAATCGAAGGCCGCTTCTTCTGCAGGACCTTGTCCCTCTGTACTGGAGAAGTAGCTTGCTCGATGCTAAGAGCGCAGCTGCTGAAAGATGGGATTTGTCTGAAAAAATGATGGGATTTGTCCGAAAAAAGTCTCCCATGTGCTTCAGAAGGACCATGAAATTGAAAGGAAAGACTGACCCTCTGGCGATCTGAAGAATTGTCTTCCAGCGATCTGAAGAATCGTCTTCCGGCCTACAGACAACAAGAAGATAAGGGAAAGAGAAAAGTCCACGTAAATCAAGCACCTGCTCACTTTGTTTTCCATACCGAAAGCTCCAGTTGCTTTGAGATAGACATCTTGGAAGCCACCTCAAAGAGCGATTCCAGCATTTCTTTTTGATCAAGACAGCCACATGGAAGTTGGTGTCTCCATCCTGCAGGAGAGAAAGGCCATGAACGTTCTGCATCTGAGCAAGTGAGTGAACTGGTCTGACTTTACCTGATTCTGAGCCATCAAGAAGCTGTGGAGGTCGTCCAACTCTGCATCCTTCAGCAAATTCTCCAGAAAGCGAGCCTGCATTCGCTCGCAGCTGTGGAGCATTAAACTTCAGGTGGATCGGTGTCATGCCGACCTGATTTACATAGAGCGCAAGACACAAAGATGATGACTGATCCCATAAGGTTTTACGTGTGTCCTCTCTCACCCAGTTCTGGCAGCCGAGCGAGCTAATACCTCCCTGCTGCAAGAGCATCTGAGTGGCTTGATAATTAAAATCTCCGCTCATCACGAAAAGATGAAGGCAGGTGCTCTTGTACTGTGCACAGGATGAAAAAAGCTGTTCAGCTGACATTGCTTTGCGAAATCAGTCCTCCTCACCGAGTCTGTAAGTCTGTAATACTTCTCGCTCTGAAAGGGCCCCAAGTAAGGCGCCATCATATCGAACAAATCTCGGGCCCCAAAAAGCACAGCGACGTGAGATGGCGTCAGATCTTTTTGTGCGAGAGCAGAGGTCCATCACAGATGAGACGAGATGATCCAATAGACCGTACCTTCATCCAATCCATACCTGCCCTTTCATTCCCAGGAGTTGACTACCGCCGTAGTCGAAGAAGACATGCATAATATGCAACGAACGGCTCCCTCGCCCCGCCGCCTTCCCACTGTCGTCAGGCAGGCAGGCAGGCAGGCAGGTAGCAGAGAAAACTTCTGTCTGCCCCCGTGTCGAACTCCGTGTGACCTTATCGGACACGATGCAATAACGCGTGCGACCCATCCAATGGCACATATAATGAATTCACACGTGTGGACAGCTGTGCAGATGTACACGTGTGTAACGGCGAAGGATGGAGGCAGATACAGACCAATACACTGCACACAGCGAGTGGGGCCATCATGAAGGCTACAAATAGTCTGATAGCTCTCTCTTTCTCAAGTCCAGAGCGAGCAAGTGTGCGATCCCGTCCCCTTGGAGTGTTGCCTTTACGACACTAAAGTAACGATCTATCTGACAGAGGCTCACATATCCGTAACCCATCGTGTGCGAATTGCGTACACGAGTAGGCAGAGAGCAATGCTGAGCCGCCATGACAATTCACAACGGCACGCACGCACATGTAAAAGCTAGATGAGAGACAGACCTAGGCCGTGGTATGTCGTCCCCTCGTGTGTGTCCCCAGCAACACAGCATATTTGCCATCCAGCTATAAACAGCCTATTTCAACACAGCACCCAATTCCCCCCACCCACCTACGCACGTACAAAAGCGGATACAGACAGACAGACAGACAGAACAACCCCCACCCACGCATCCATGGAGACACGCTGCCGTTGATGGTGTCGCTCAGTTGTTGCTGCCGCTGTGACGAATGGGGGCGGGCGAAGGCTTAGCGCTCTTCCCTCCCTTGCCCTTCTTGCCGCCTTTGCCTGCCACACGCAGAAGGAGACACCACCAAGTAGACAGACAGACAGACAGACAGACAAGGACGTGTGAACTCACTTACCTGGGATGGTGTGTCCACTGCCGCTCTGCTTCTCCTCAAGACGGGCGATACGTTTGATGAGGTCTTTGCACGTGTGCACTTGGAGTGTGTGTATCTCATGAATGTCTGTGTGCGCACCCCTGCGCACGCACGAGTGGACTTGAAGTGTGTGTATCTCTCATGAATGTCTCTCTGCGCACCCCTGCGCACGCACGGTCGACTTGGAGTGTGTGTATCTCACGAATGTCTCTGTGCGCACCCCTGCGCACGCACGTGTGGACTTGGAGTGTGTGTATCTCATGAATGTCTCTGTGCGCACCCCTGCGCACGCACGTGTGGACCGCATGCACGTGTCGACTTGGAGTGTGTGTATCTCATGACTGTCTGTGTGCGCACCCCTTCGCACGCACGTGTGGACTTGGAGTGTGTGTATCTCATGAATGTCTCTCTGCGCACCCCTGCGGCATACGCGACCCTCTCGACCGAGCCGCAGCCGTATATCCCGCTTCCCGCGCTGCCACCAAAGTGGTTTCCAAGTCCATCCAGGGCAAGGCCCCTTTCCACCCTGGCGACCATCGTGCCACCATCAGCCACGCCCTCACCCAGAGCCGGCAGCAGCAGGACATCGACCACAAAGCCAAGAGAGAAGCCGCCCTTCCCCACGTCGATCGCCAGCGTCATCGCGTCCTCTCCCGCAGCGCCGAATACAAGACGTCCGGCTGGCTGACCGCCCTCCCGCTGAGAGACAACAACACTGATCTTGATGCTGCGGAGTTCCGAGATGCCCTCAACATGCGATACGGCCGACACCCGCCAGGCCTCGCTGCACGCTGCGACCACTGCAACCAGCCCCTCACCGTCGACCATGCGCTGTGCTGCAAGCGGTACGGCCTGGTGATTCGTCGCCACGACGAGCTGCGGGACACTTTTGCCGAGCTGATTGGGATGGCGTGAAGAGAGGCTGGTGTGCGCCGAGAGCTGGTGTTGAAGGAGGGAGAGGAGAGAGAGGGGGGGGTCAGGGCGGACATCGTCGCTCGGGGCGTGTGGGAGCGGCAGGCGGCTGCGTCGTTTGACATCTGCATCACTGATGCTGACGCACCGTCTTATGCTTCCAAGAACCGATCGACCAAGGCCATCCTGAAGCAGCACGAGACCAGCAAGAAGAAGAAATACCGCTCGGCCGTCTGCGACTCCCGCATGACCTCTGCCCTCTGGTGGTGACGTGCGACGGTGTGTGGGGACACGATGCCAACGTGTTCATCGCCCACATGGCTCATGCGCTGTTGGAGAAGGAGGGGTGGAAGGGTCGGGGATTCAGTCATGTGTCTGGGTGGATTCGCTCGCGTTTGTCTATCGCCCTCGCGCGTGCAACTAGCTACTGTCTGCGTGGGGGAGGGAGAGGGGGGTTTGCGGGGCTGGGGTGTGCTGATGGGGCGGGGATCGATCCCTCCTCCCCTTAAGCTTGTTTGACTCTGCGTGCTCATGGGACTGTATTTATGAGTGTCACGGACATACAGACGAGTGTTACGGTTAATGCAAAGTTGTCATCATATCGCTCTGTATACACGCCTGCGCAGGCCTGTAGTTGGATGGTGTATGCAACGAATGTCTCTCTGAGTTTGCGCATGCACACGTCTGCGCACGCCTGTAGATGGAGGGTGAGTGCAACGAATGTCTCTCTGTGTACACGCCTGCGCACGCTGGAGGGTGTATGCAACGAATGTCTCTCTGAGTTTGTGCATACACACGCCTGCGCACGCCTGCGCACGGTTGGATGGTGTATGCAACGAATGTCTCTCTGAGTTTGCGCATACACACGCCTGCGCACCCCTGTAGTTGGAGGGTCAGTGCAATGAGTATCTCTGTATACACACGCCTGCGCACGCCTGTAGTTGGATGGTGTATGCAACGAATGTCTCTCTGAGTTTGCGCATGCACACGCCTGCGCACGCCTGTAGATGGAGGGTGAGTGCAACGAATGTCTCTCTGTGTACACGCCTGCGCACGCCTGTAGTTGGATGGTGTATGCAACGAATGTCTCTTTGAGTTTGCGCATGCACACGCCTGCGCACGCCTGTAGTTGGAGGGTGAGCGGAATGAATGTCTCTCTGTGTGCACGCCTGCGCACGCTGGAGGGTGTATACAATGAATGTCTCTTTGAGTTTGCGCATGCACACGCCTGCGCACGCCTGTAGTTGGAGGGTGAGCGGAATGAATGTCTCTCTGTGTACACGCCTGCGCACGCCTGTAGTTGGATGGTGTATGCAACGAATGTCACTCTGAGTTTGCGCATGCACACGCCTGCGCACGCTGTAGTTGGAGGATGAGTGCAATGAATGTCTCTCTGTGTACACGCCTGCGCACGCTGGAGGGTGTATGCAACGAATGTCTCTCTGAGTTTGCGCATGCACACGCCTGCGCACGCCCGTAGTTGGAGGGTGAGCGCAATGAATATCTCTCTTTGTACACGGCTGGTAGTTGGAGGGTAAGTGCAATCAATGTCTCTCTGTGTACACGCCTGCGCACGCCTGTAGTTGGAGGTGTATGCAACGAATGTCTCTGAGCTTGCGCACACGCCTGCGGACGCCTTTAGTTGGATGGTGTATGCAACGAATGTCTCTCTGAGTTTGCACAGGCGTGCTCTGTGTACACGCCTGCACACGCCTGTAACGAATGTCTCTGAGCTTGCGCACACGCCTGCCGACGCCTTCAGTTGATGGTGTATGCAACGAATGTCTCTCTGAGTTTGCACATGCACACGCTTGCGCACGCCTGTAGTTGGAGGGTGAGTGCAATGAATATCGCTCTGTATACACGGCTGCGCACGCCTGTAGTTGGATGGTGTATGCAATGAATGTCTCTCTGAGCTTGCGCACACGCCTGCGTAGGCCTGTAGTTGTAGGGTGTATGCAACAAATGTCTCTCTGTGTAGACGCCTGCGCACCCCTTTAGTTGGATAGTGTATGCAACAAATGTCTTTGAGTTTGCGCACACGCCTGCGCACGGTTGGATGGTGTATGCAACGAATTTCTCTTTGAGTTTGCGCATGCACACGCCTGCGCACGCCTGTAGTTGGAGGGTGTATACAACGAATGTCTCTCTGTGTACACGCCTGCGCACGCCTGTAGTTGGAGGGTATATGCAACGAATGTCTCTCTGAGTTTGCGCATGCTCTCTGCGCACGCACACGCCTTCGCACGCCTGTAGTTGGAGGGTGAACGCAATGATTGTCTCTGAGCTTGCGCACACGCCTGCGCACGCCTATAGTTGGAGGGTGTGCGCAACGGATTTGTCTCTCTCTGTTTGCTGTTTAATATTTGATCAATTTCTGTATTCTGATAATTCGGTGCTATTTTCTTTCTTCTTTTATGTTCTTATGTATTCTTTTGTTTGATGGTTAAGTGTTTATTTTGCGGGAGAGACAACGCGTGCTTGCTGATTCAGTGCGTTAGGGGCGGGAGAAACAGACGATGCTTCGCTTCAAGAAATGACAAACATCAATACATAGACCACATAGCTCTTAAGTGAAATCATAATTCAGAGCTATTCATTGATTAAGCAGTCATGACACAGGATGCTCTGGCACTCGCTATTCTGGCATCAAAAACACTAGAATGCAACTGGGCCTGACGTTTTTGCTGTGGCTCGCCCAGTGGGCAAGAAGCGTCCGATCAGGGTTTGCTACTAGCCGTTGTTCTCTGTTCGCTTCCAAGCTATGTAGCTTGACACACTGAAGCAAGGCGAGTCAGTGAGGTTGGTTGGGAGAGATTCCCTTCCGTAGAAGCGCTCACCGCGCCCATTGGCTTTACTCACTGATGCGCTGACTCTGACTGCCTGTGAATGATGGTTGGGAGCGTGCTTGAGATCGGAAGAGCCACCTCGAGATCTGCTGCAGCACACGCAACGGGACGGCAAATGACGTCTTGACTTGTCTTGACGTGTCGAGCAGAACCGCAACGGAATCAGCTACAGAAAAAATCCCACAGGGTTTCATACGCTTGGGGTTTCCCTCCGATAGAAGGATTTTTTTCGACACTCGCTTCGCTCACGTCAAAAATCCCTTTTATATGACTACTGCTCAGTGGTCGTGCCGTTGCTGAAATGAGGTGGTTTGCTGCAGCTGTGACCGTCCTTATCCAGGGCTCCCTCGTCATTAGGCCTGCTTCAGGAGGAGGACTGCAGACGAGACTGCGGGTCAGAAAGGACCAAAAAAGATATAGCAAGAACGCATACACAAGCTGTGTCGTCTGTTTGTGATCACTCAGGGTCCGCACCGTGCTGTCAAGGGTACATTGAGCATGCAGATGGCGCCCGGCCCAGCGAGCGTGGATCCTCTGCTGCCTCCCAATGCACTGAAAAGGCCCTGGTGCTGGAGCCTCGAGCGGGAAAGGAAGCGAACAATCCTGGCACTCGATGGTGGCGGCGTGCGTGGAATCGTTGCGGCGTGTGTGCTGGGAGTTCTGGAGGATGAACTTCGGAGGCAATCGAACATAACCGACCTGACGATTGGTGAATGCTTTGACGTCATCGCCGGGACTTCAACCGGAGCCATCCTTGCGACATACCTTTCGGCGTATTGCGGCAAGAACACCGAGGCGACCACCTTTCCCGGCACCAGGATTGTACTGAATGGTAGTGCAGCCAGCGCCTCAGAGATGTATGAAGCGATGGCCGACAAGATCTTCCCCAAAGTCAGGCTTCGGTCGGTTCGGCGACCGTGGGTGTTTGTTGGGCCGAAGCATGATGCAGATGGATTGGAGAAAGCGCTGCAGGCGGCAATGCATCCTAATTGCACCACTCTTGAAGAGTTTATCAGTGCGACCCCGAAGAGACCGGAGAGAGGAGACTGGAAAGGCCCCACTCTCTTCGTTACAGCGTACGATATGGTCTTTAGGCGCCCTGTCGCCTTCGTTGGTGATCGGCTCCGACCCAAAGCCTCATTCATACGTCTGGACCACTTCACTTTTCCCTACCACGATCGTGCGCTGGCTCAGGGTGTGCCGGACTATCGATGGAACCTTCTGTGGAACCGCTTCCAGAAGCTGAAGAATGACCCCATTATCAGAGAAGTTTACGGTGATGCCGGCAATCTGACGAGACTTGGAGATGCTGAGCTGCCTCTGGGGTTGTGCAGGAATAAGCCAGAGACTGCACGCTACTGGTGGACGAAGCCAGACGTGGAGCTCTGGGAGATCTGTCGCTGTAGCACCGCCGCTCCCACGTTCTTCAAGCCCGCCCGCATCCGCAACTTCTTTCAGCGACCTCCAGCTCCCCAAAAAGCGGAGAGAACAGCGGATTTGGTGGCGTGTGATGGCGGTATTGTGGCAAACGACCCGGCCATGCAAGCTTTGAACTATTTGTATACACAGGGGAAGTTGTTTAGACTTCTATTAGCGCTGGGTGCGGAGATTGTGGAGGAAGAAGAAATGAGCGAGAAAGACAAAAACTTCTTCGCCAAACACAAGGACTTCTTCACCAACCTGACACTTGCGCATCACGCGGTCCTGAGCATCGGGGTGGGCGTCTCTTTCCGCGAAAAGGGAGTCGAAGAAGCTGCAAAGACTCATAGTGCAGCCGACTGGCTGGGAGCCGACAAGTGGAACTTCCGAGAGGCCAAGGGCAACATTATCGACGCACTAATGGCTTCCTCGTCCATTCTGGCACATTTCAATCTCGACGTTGCCTTCTCAAACGAGGGCGTGCCCCAGCAGTACCTCCGTGTGCAGTGCAGCGCTGACAAAAGCGGGAGGAGCGTGGGCCGTGCACCGTCACACGTATATGCTGCGCTCGAGAAAATGGATGATCCATCGAGCATCCCGGATCTAAAGAAGATCGGCAAGGCCCTTGCAGAACTCTATCGGCCTCTCATCGCCGATTTCGTCGATCAGTACCTTCTAACACCTTGACCTCACTGTGCCGGGGGGGAGAAGGGGATAGGAGTACGTGCGTGGGTGTAAGAAAGGGCGTAAGTATGAGTGAATGCATGGGGAGTCAAAGCCATCGTTTTGTATGTGTTTCAGGGATGGATAGCACCATGCCTATGTGCCTTCTTTTCTTGCGTGTTTGCTCACTGACTTCCATGCGTGCTTGCTTTTCTTACGCCGAGAAGGTTGCGGTCTAACGATTTGGGCGCAACCGATGCATGCGTGCTTGCGCTTGCGTGCAGACGATGCGTGCTTGCTTTGCATAGCGAGAGGGGAACAGACGAGAACAACACACGATGCAGAAGGGAGAGGTGCGGACTCTGCATGCTTGCTTGTGTATGTGAGGAGGGACTGATGCGTAGATGCATAGATGTGTGCTTGCTTCTAAGTGTGTGGAGCGAATGCACACTTGCTTTCTATGGCTGGAGAGAGGGGGGGCAGACGATACTTGATCGTGCTTGCGTTGCATACCTGCGTGCGTACGTTCTTGAGTCCTTTCAATGTGGGCAAAAGCGTGTGCTTTTGTCGGGCAATGGTGACTTGTGTGCCATGGTGCATACTTGTGTACGCTGGTGGAAAAAGCAATGCGTGCTTGCTTGTCGTATGCATTGATCAGTTCTCACTAAAGTTTTTCAGAGAGACGCAAAAGGGACATCCATATCCTAAACGCCGCCTTACTTTTTTGATCAGGTATGGTTTCTCTATGTAACTGCCTCACTCGTTTCCTTTGAGGTGTGTGTCGGGGTCTTTTTTGGCCAGTGAATGAGGCTCTTAATGATGAGCGCATGAGTATGAAAACCGCGGTCTGCAGTAGTCAGCAGTATTCAGGAGTTTCTTATTCGACACTTGCTGACCCTGCTTTTTCTACCATGAATGGATGCCTGCCTGCCTCTTCCTGTGGTGGGACCTGGAGGGCTTTTTTGGCGTTGATCAGCCCGTAAGCTTACTCTTCTAGGTGCCCCAAGCTTAGGGCGCTTGGGTGATATCGGTAGGCAACAGGATTGGACGAGGGGGGAGAGGGTGGCAGTGAGAACAAGGGAGGCAGGAGTACATGAGTTGATGAAAGCAATGGCGTGGGATGAGTGGTTGAGTGGAGGAGGCAGTGCTATAGGCACTTCTCATGCTTCTGCTTCACACACAGAGAGTCAGTGAGAGGACGGAAAGCACGATGCGATGCCTGTCTGCCTTCTTCCCTCGTGTCTGTGCTGTATTTGGTGCTCACAGACTGGTGGTGAGCTTCAGGGAGTGAGCGAGCGACTGAGTGGGGTCTGCTTTCGCAGTCTCTGTGTCTGGACGGAAAGGAGAGGGGACAGGCGAACAGTCTAGCTTCGCGGTGGCGCACACTGCACTCATTCGTCAGCAGTGTGGCCGTCGGTAGTTTGGCCTTTTGTAGCCGAATGATTGATGCATCATATTGGTTGCATACCGTTTGTCTACCTGCTTTTGCAGTGCCTCTTTTTCTTCTCTCTGCTTGTCTGCTGTTTTTGGTGACAGCATTTTTCGCTCACTGACTGGTGCATGAGCCTGAGTGGGGTCTGTCCTGTCAGTATTATAGAGATGGAAGGGAGAGGGAGAGGCGAAGACAGTCGCCCTACAATGCTGCTTTTCGTCGGGGTTTTTATGTCTGACTGTCAGTATCCGGCCATTCGATAGTTATCGATGGCCGCCCTCATGTCAGTTTGATGGATTGCCACACAATGTCAGCCAAACTGACTCTTTCGTAGTGGTGCTGGTGTGTTTGCTTCCACGCACAGTGATTCCTCTGGGTGATTGACGTCCGCAGACAGGTGTGGTCCATGAATATGAACATCTTCACTAGCACAAACACGAATCATTAACTGTGAAAATATCAATGCAATGAACTCATGGGGGGACACGTGGTTAACGGAAAGCGCATCGGCACGAGGAGTCCATCAAGAATGCATAATCTACATTGTCAGAAAACACACTATATGTTGTATCATTATCTTCACAATTTGCGTTGTTCGCTTTACAGCTTGAAGTCGGGACAGGCAATAGTTTCACATTCTTTCAGTGAAATTATCAGCAGTGATCCAATTCTTTGACATTGTCTATCGATACGTATGGAACTATAGGACCTTGTGAGCTCGCAAATCACGATGTGAGGAGAATTTCTCCTCCCGTTGCCTGTGGTGGGCTACGCAAGCGCCACCATCACGCCCACCTCATCGCGAGCTCCCTACCGATGTGCGGGTCGCCTCACGTCTCTCAGAAGCGAACAATGCGGCCATTCTACGTCGGCCGCGCTGGACCTGAGTTGCCCATGCAACAGGAATCAGCAGTCCATGTGCGTCCAATCGTCCTCTCTCTCTTCTTGCTTGCATGCGCCACCCGCTTCTGCCCCTTCTCAACGCAGCCGAACTACCTGAATAACATTGCCGAGCATCCCGTGCACGACATCTCCCACCAGCCCAAGAGCTCAGTGCTAATCCGTGCCAGCTATCCCGCCCTTTGTGCGTCGTCGTTTGAACTTTGCGTCTCGTACGCTGACGGCCACTTCCCCAGGGGCTTCACTTCGGCACCCACCATTGCCGAGCATCCCGTGCACGACATCTCCCACCAGCCCAAGAGCTCAGCGCTAATTTTTGCCAGCTATCCCGCCCTTTGTGCGTCGTCGTTTGAACTTTGCGTCTCGTACGCTGACGGCCACTTCCCCAGGGGCTTCACTTCGGCACCCACCATTGCCGAGCATCCCGTGCACGACATCTCCCACCAGCCCAAGAGCTCAGCGCTAATCCGTGCCAGCTATCCCGCCCTTTGCGCGTCGTCGTTTGAACTTTGCGTCTCGTACGCTGACGGCCACTTCCCCAGGGGCTTCACTTCGGCACCCACCATTGCCGAGCATCCCGTGCACGACATCTCCCACAAGCCCAAGAGCTCAGCGCTAATCCGTGCCAGCTATCCCGCCCTTTGTGCGTCGTCGTTTGAACTTTGCGTCTCGTACGCTGACGGCCACTTCCCCAGGGGCTTCACTTATGTGCACTCTACATGTGAAGGGTTGATGATGTATGACAGACTCGGTGGGTGGTCGGGCAGGGCATGCAAACAGTGATTGAATTGGAGGGACAGCTAGTGTAGTTCTTAGTTTGCATTGTTGATGGACTCTTCGTGCCGATGCGCTTTCCGTTAATCACGTGCTCATGGAACTATAGGATCATCTGATCATTAGTAATTGCTTGTGCTTGACAATAAGCAATAACATCTTGCATGGCTTGACTAGGAGTCTGGAGGTTCCGTTAGAAAAGGAAAGCAAGAACAACATGAAAAGGTTCAGAACACTGCAAACAAACAAGAACCCTATTCTCTTCCTGTTGGTCGACATTTGCTGGAACCAAATACGCGATATCGTGCCGTAAACTTGTGCTTTCACTCCTTTATTCAACTCGTCCAAAAACGGTATACTTGTCCTCTCCACAGGATCTTCGACTTTCGCTAAGGTTCTGCAATTCGCTTTGGCTGTCCTGTAATTCGCTTTGGCTGATGTTCTGCGATCTGCAACGAGCCTTCAGTATCTGTCGATGGTCACAAAACGACATTGCCAGCAGCGTTATTTCAGTATTGCTATTGGACGGAGCCCGTGGAAATACGAATCTAACTATCCTCGATTTCAGGCTCTGCGGAAAGAAGACCAGTCAGTCATTTACGATGACATCATTTTTTCCGTTCGCAGTGCAGTCTAAATGAAAGTTTTACTTCCTCTTTGCTGACACACACACACACACACACACAAAGGAGATACCTTTATCTACTCTCTTCACGTGTTGTCTTTCGACTGCATGCAGTGTGGAGCGAGCGGTTGGCGACTTGTGTGTTACGTCATCATCATCGCAGGCACATCATACACACGTGGGCACCGACTTGTTTTCCGTTCTTCTATCTTACTGGACGTTCGTTTTTTGTTGGGTGATGCGGCGCCTGCGACGCCCGCGAGGCGTCAAGCCTTCATCCTCGTCAGAGTGCGCAATGTCGATAGTGTTGATGATGCGTCGGGTCTGTTGATAGCGCTGGTGAAGCCTCATTTCGAGTGCAGGAAGGAAAAGGCACGGCGTTACCGAGGGGTGATCCGTGACGGAGCCATCCACCGGCGAGTGTGTGAGGATATCATATCGTTTTGCGCGGAAGAGCTGCAAGGGGGTGAGGTGATGGGGATAGTGGACTCGCCTATCAAGGGGGGCGACGGCAAAAAGGAGTTCTTGCTGGGACTTAGGAAGAGAAATATTAAGGCACATATGAGCGAGTGACCGGGCCGAGAGTGCATTCAGTGGCTGCGCGCACACCTTCTGACTTGTGTGCTCAAACATGCAAACCCTGGTGCTGGGGATGCATGAGAATTGTCTTTGCGCGTTCAGGTGCAAACGGTGATATGTCTGCTCAATGCTATGCACGCCATGCCGAACTGCACTTTTCCTTGGCGACCTGGGGTGTAAGGCAAAGCGGCCGAGCCGCGGAACGGCAGTCAAGGAATGAACGCAGATGGTGTAAAGGCATCAGGAATGGACAATAAAACGAGACGCCTTTGTCTGGCCATTTTATGCCTATCTAATGTCCAGCGCTAAAATTCAGGCTGAATGCAGACATACAGAGATGCGTATCTGTGTCTCTCACGTATCCATACATGTTCCCAGGATGTTTCCAGGATGGACGAAGTCATACACAATGACACTTAAGAAATACAAGGAGACACACACCGTGCGAGATTGATCGTTCATCTCAACTCCTGGGTTCTCCACCTTTGCCGTGAAACCAACCAAGTTTCTTCTTTTTGCACTGGATCGTGCAAGCAACATTCAGTTATGTGTGAAATGATCTTAAGGAGGGAGGTGCGTCGTGATGCTTGCAGAAATCCGACAAGAATTACTCGAAACGGGCCATGTGCGGTCTTTCCGGCTGGATGAAATATGTCTCTGCGCATACCTGCGCACACCATGGGAGCATTCGTGATTCACTTTCTCTTATCAGGGAGGTGATGCCTCTCCAGCTTGTGGGCCATTTTAGCAGAAGAGGCAGTGTGAGTTATCTCACTATCGTGTCTAAGTGACGGAGCTCCTTAACACTCAACCTGATCTTGTTGGCCTCGCCCAGCAGGTTCACGAGTCGGATGACGTCCAGCTGAGAAACTACAATGCCAATGTCATTGTGCATAAGGTGAGTGTGAAAGCCATTCGCTCATCACATTTAGTGTCAATTTGTCGCAGCTTTACGTGCTTGACACCATTTGGGACATGACGGGAGTTGTCAAGCTCATCCTTGATGGCCACACGCAAGTTTCGCCGGCGAGTCAGCGCGACCACAGGGTGACAATCGCACCATCATTCTTGGCCATCGAGCGGTGTGCCCCACATTGCGATTGATCTTACTCGCCAGGGATGGAATCCGGAGCTCTTCATAAAGCAGAATGAGGCCATCGAGGATCTCACGACTTTAAGGTAGAGGCAACTAATGTAAAGGCGACCCTAATGTAAAGGCGACCTTTACTTCTTTCCTGCGTACATTGGCTCTTATGTCTCTGCGTCCTTCAGACTGAAAGTTGAGGCATTTTCTACAAGACTGAAGAGAAGGAACGCCACGCTGCATGACAGATGGATAGCACCGATGCATCTGAGGTTGTATATTGACTTGCAGCAGTTTGAAGCCTAAATGGCCATGCTGGAGACCGACACTGGCTGCACACCGTAGAAGAAAGCCAACTTGCGTCGAAAGCGTGGCTCAAGATGCAGGAGGACTACAGAGACAGGATAGATAAGAACAGCAAGCATTGCCTGTCTCTGCGCATCTCCTCATTCGATCTCGCTCAGATGCCTGGCGCGCAAAACTGGTGCGTGAGAAGCGTTAATTGATGAGTTCTATGACCACGTCAAAAAGGGCAAAAGCATGAGCAATAAAGCTCAGCCCTACAGCACACAGAACGGACATCTCGCGGGAGAGGTAAACAAGACGATACATGACTGTATGTATGTCTCTCTCTCTGCAGGTAGTGCTTCGGGTGGACATATTACGTCCTCTCGAAAAAAGGTCCACTGGCCTCTGGGGGTGATCGAGCAAGCTTCAAGCGAATCCCTTACGGTTGGATGCTTGGCTCTGCAAGTCTCTCCCCCTCTCTCTTGCTCCAGGTGTCTCTCTACCCGCTGTCCATGCGTCGGCTAGTTTGGTAGCGGCTGTTAGGCACAGCATCAGGTGACCTCACATCTACTCACTCAGCAGACTCACACAAGCGTCATGTCATCGCTGCCATCTTCTGTCCCTGTCAGGTTTTGTGAACCGTCTGGGTAGTGTGGGTGCGATTCTCCAGGGCAGCCTGACTGCCACACATCGCCGACACGTATGGCTGGGACGTCCTCTTCCTCGCTCTCTCGATGCTGGCAGTGTTGGCTGTGACGGCTCTAGCTCCACTCATCTCAGCAGAACTCAGCCCTGACTACCAGCGAGAGAGGGAGGCACAGAGCCAAGAACGCCTAGTTGTGAGGTTCTTGACAAGTCAACTTTTGACGTGACGTGAGTGACAGGGATATTGGATGGCCTGCCTCCGCGATGAGTCATGAGTCGCCTTTCATCAATGAGAGGGTGGATGAGAATCGGCTCGGCCCTGTTCTCGCTTAGCCTCCTTGAGTTCCCAAGGGGTTGCACGTGCTAGGACGAAGGAGTCAAGAAAGAGGGCCGAGGGCGGTTGGGTGACTGCTTCTTCTCCTGTCTGTGTGAATACTTGTCGGTGACGCGCTCTCATGCGACGGGACTCTGTGAGGGGGGAGCGTTTCACCGAAAAGGTGGCGGGCATAATGCCGCGGTTCGAGTCGTGAGCCTACATCCATTGGTGAATCAGGCAATGAAAAACACTCCTTTTCTGCTGAACGCTCTTCATGTTCCTCCTCGTGTTGCGTCATCCTTGTGTGCTTCGCCCTTTCTCGGCACTGGGCAGCCACCTCTTGCCGCATGACAGCACAGAAGAGACACAGGAGGGAGCACACAGCGTCGACAGAGAGATATCGTCCATCATAAAAGGCGGCCAGCACCCGAAGGTGGTATGGTGGAGCGCTGGGCGCACCAAGGGAGGACCATGCTCTCGCGGTGATCAAAGTAAGACACAAGCAATCTAAGGCCCGAGGGCTCGCCTGCGTATGCCTGCGTGCGTGTAGGGAAGGCGTGGATTTCCAAACACCTATCCAGGATGGGCAGATTTCGATAGAGGACAAGAGGAGATGCCAACAAACTGAATTGGCCTTTGCTTGTGAAAAACTCGCTGCGTTTTTTGCAGCTGAAAGTGTAACTCTTCAGAGGGCTCTATATACATATCCGATCTGGTGTAAGAAGGCGCGAAGAAGTACAGAAATGGCTTCTCGTCACGTGTGCTGTTGTCTATGCATGTTTATGTGCCAGGTTCAAGAAGTCACGGTGTTGATTCAAGGCTCCAGCCGGCATCCACCTGTGGATGAGGATCTGAAGGTATATCTGAGGAAGCCGGCGTCGAAAATTGTGAACACGAAAGACAACAAGGCTATGCAGATTGTCAGGGCGCTCGAGAATAGAGGTGTTAGCACCAAATGAGCTCGGGAGAAGGGACGTACTGCTGATACGAGACAAATGCTCCCTTTGTCGGCACGCTTGCAGGAAGGCTCTCAAGGCTGAATGGCTGAAGACGCCTCACTTTCTGCTGGGGGAGTGTCAAACATGGACTCGACCTCGTGAGGGGCGGAAGGTTCAGGTAGAATGGCCGCCTTACAAGAAATGGTACGATGACTCCTTTTGACAAGACAGTGCCAAGTGATAGGCGGTTGCTCTGCACCTTTATTCACTGAGATACTTCCTGACGTGCTCTTTGTGAGTGGTTTTTTACATGAACCGATCAAGCGTCCATCAAGGGAAGGTGTCAGCTTGCACGTTCAGAAGCACAAGCCACGAGCCACTGTCACACTAAGTGTTTATGGAACATTACTGAAGGGAATTGCACGTACGTAAGCGTGTTCATTGATCTGTTCTCCTCAGCGCCAGCAAGCCATAAAAGCTAGAGTTGAAAAAGAAGAGAATCCTAACATTATCAGAGAGATGCCATGAGACGTGCCACCGACTACAGTAACCATCGTCATCTCCCTCAACAAAGTCAGCTTCTGCCTTTAGTCAAAAAGCGATCTGCAATCCAATGAGCATCTACTTCGCCCGTCTCTACCCCCGCTTATCTGCACAGCCGTACTAGAAAACAAGGCACTAACCAAATCATTTGAAAATAACCATGTATGTGTCGGCCATTCGAAGCTGACCGACTGACTGGTTTTGCCTGATTCTTGCATCCACATACAGATGCAATACAATGCAAACATCTGCCGTACAGTCTTTGAGATGTCTCTCCTATCAACACAACCGTCCGTGACAGCATACAACATAGGCCTGACGTCTGGCTGGCGGTCCTTCTCCCTCACTGACCTGCAGCCTAGTAGTTCGCTCCCCCTCTCCCTCACTACTGTGTCCATGCTGCGCAGCTCTCTCTCTGCATCTCTGTAAAGCGCCTCTTACTGTCACATACCGACCCATGAAACCCTTACGCCTTAAACATCAGGAACCAGTACAAACGAAAAAAATATACCTGCAGCGGCCATCATTCACGATGCAGTGAAAAGACACTTATAGAAAAGATGTTCATAAGCATGAAAAAGCGCCTTCCAAATCCCATAAACACATGAGCAGGCGAGTTGCTTTCTCATGGCAGCGCTTTCGTGGCGCACGAAGGTAAGTGAGAAGACGTCAGGCGACCTCACTTTATCGTCCATGTCAACACACTCGTGTAAGGCAATCGTAAGCGAGCCACAGATGGATCGTGACCAGAGGATCCAGCTTCCAAGTCAGGTGTGTTGACATGAATGATCTCGTACTCGCGCTTCGAGAAGGCCTTGTTGACCAGAATGTGGTCAAGGGCTTGCGAATTGCCTTCCGCGCTGAAGATGGTCGTGAAGCGCTCAGGAGGCTCAAGCTGGTCGGTGGTAAGATTGATGAGACCGACGTCCGTCAGC